TTTTAAAAAAAAAAAAAAAAAAAAAAAAAGGAAAGAAAGAAAAGGCAAGAAGGAGGACTTGGGGAATTACAGACTGGTTAGCCTTACCTCTGTTCCTGGGAAGTTTAGTTAAAGGAGCTTATTAAGGAAGGTCATTTGCAAGCATCTGGAGGAGGAAAGGCTGGTTGCAAGCTTCCAGCATGGATTTATGAAAAACAAAGTGTCAAACAAACTTGATCATCTCCTTTGACAAAGTAACTGCTTGAGTGGATGAAGGGAATGCTGTGGATATAGTGCATCAGGACTTCAGCAAGGCTTTTGACAAGGTCCCGTGTGACCAGCTCTTTTCATAAACAAATTGGAGAAATGTGGGCTAGATAAAACTACTACAAGGTGAGTAGATGACCGGCTCAATAACTGCAAGGAAAGGGTCATTATTAATTGGTCCATGTCAGAATGGCAGGAGGATTCAAGTGGAAACCCCTGGGGTCTGTCCTTGGCCTGGTGCTATTCGTTGTGTTTGTTAACTTTGGATGCTGGCATAGAAAGCTTCTTGAGCAAGTTTGTGCACAACACAGAACTGGGAAGGATTCTGAACATGGAGGATGTGAACGCAATTCAGAAGGATCTTAACAGATCGGAAGTTCAGTGTGGACAGATGTAAGGTGCTGCACCTTGGAAGGAATAATTAATGACACAAATACAAAATGAGACGCACCTGGCTGGATGGCAGCTTTATGGAAAAGGTCTTGAGCGTCTTGGTAGACCACACAGACTTAATATGAGTCTGCAGTATGATGCAGCTGCACAAAAGGTTTTGGGCTGCATCAGTAGAAGTATTAAGTGCAAGACATAAGAGGTGATAGTGCCTTTACTAGGCACTGGTTAAGGCCTCATCTGGAGTAGTGTGTGCAGTTCTGGGCTTCACATTTTAAAATCAATATAGAAAAGTTTGAAAGGGTTCAGTGGCAGGCAACAAAGATGATCAAGGTCTTGGAAAACAAGTCCTGTGAAGAGAGGCTGAAGGAGCTAGGCATGTTTAGCTTGGGCAAGAGGTGCTTAAGAACATGATAGCGGCCTTCAAATCCTTGAAAGGCTGCAGTAAAGTAGGAAAGTGCCTTTTCTCTCGTTGCAGAGGGGAGCATGTGGACCAATGGCTTGCAAAGTGTAGATTGGATATCTGGAAACACTTGTTCACTCTTAAAATAGTAAGGGAGTGGAATAGACTATCTAGGGGAATTTGTGGATTCTTTCATTGGACGTGTTCAAGAAGAGGTTGGATAGCCACTGGTTAGGGAAGATATAGGCACAGCTATGCCTGTTTCCTAATATTGGTATTTCTGGGCTTTGCTGGCTGCTCCTACCCCTGTCTAGGAGCTACACGGTTAAGAAATCCAGGTTCTGGTGGGTCTAGGGTGGGAGTAAATAATATTTAATTGGCAAATGTTTAATGTATTTGAGTAATTTGTTGATAGTTTGTGCATTTTTTTTTTTTATATTTAAGGTGAAGATGGAAGTATTGACATTTCAAAAGAGACATTCCATCATACAGAGAAACAACAAAATGAAAAAAATGAACACAGAGATTGTAGGAAAATATTAACAGAAAGTGCCAATCAGCAGATGGATCAAATGCAGAATAATCAGTCTGATGTAAGCACATAATTTCAGTGATGCATAGTAATCTATTCCTTGCAATTCTTAATATCATCTTGTTAGGAAGTCCTACATCCCTGTATATATTATGATTTAAAGCTGTCGTGCTGAACCTTTTGGTCCTGCAGACCAGATGAGTAGCGCAGGGCTCATCCACAGGCTGGATCAAGCCCTGCTTACTAGAATCAGGCCCTGGGAGCCTAGCACTGACCTCTCCCACGCCCACACTCAGATTGGGGCCTGGGGGCCAGACACCTTCCTCTCAACCTCCCGCACCAGGATTTGGCCCTGGAGCCTGGCACTGTCCCTGTGTGCCAAGATATGGTTCTGGGGTTTCGCACCACCCCTATCTGGCTCTGTGCACTGGGATTTGATGCTTGATCCAGTGTGCAGAGCCTCGGCTCCTTATAAGCCTGGATGAGACCTCTCCTGCCTAATTTCTGGACCCAGAGGGAACCCCATGGGTTGAATAACATGGTGCTGCAGGCCACGTGTTTGACCCCTTTTTGGTTTAAATCCTTTGTAAAATAGTGTATTAGTGGGATTCAGAATTCTAAATAATAAAGGTGCATAAGCGTAAACTTTCAGAGTACAAATATTGCATTGGCAGCCAAGAAAGACATGGACAATATGAACATGTAAACTTGGATAAGTTTATTTTTTTGACCATAATTTACGCATTTCTTTTGTTCTGTAATTAGTTCCTCGTATGAAAACAAACAAAAGAAAAACCTTAACTTATTTGGGCAGTAAAAGCTCTGCGCCACATACCTGGTTCTTGATGGTGGCCTCTTAGTGTATGTGTGTTGTTTCTCTGGGGCTTTTGAGTATACCATGAAGGAGCATGTCCTGTCCACTCTCTCAGACTTCTCACATACAGGCTTAGGAATGAGGCAGTAAAGTTTCCCTGAAAGCATTCCTTACCAGTGCCCTCAAGAATAATTGATGCAGAGAATTTGAGTTGTGTGCATGTGTATGTAAGTGCATCTCCCCCAGAATGGTCTCACCATCTAATTTCTGGGTCTGGAGCATGTGTATAATAAGAAAGAATGGGTAGGTGAGGCCATTTGCTGAGGAACACTGGAAGTGGTATAGACATACCCTTGTTAATTGGCTAATAGAGCTGAAAGTGTCATACAGATACCAGAGTTAGTTTTAGTTTGAGTATAGTATTGCATCTGTCCTCACGTTTTGGCAGTATATAAATATATTGCATATTGAATATTTGCCATATTGGTTAGATATTAGAGGCTGTAAAGCAAGGACTTATGCATAGAAGAAGCCTTAGAAAGAAAGAAATGTGCTCTCTGGCAGCTTGACTGGTTTTGATTATATGAATACAGATAACTGCAAAAAATAAAAGATTCAGAATAGAAGGTTGTGCAGCGGCATGTAGTTGTTTGCCATTTCCATTTACTTTTATCAATACTAGCTGTTTTAAACTTTAGTTTTACAAAGTTGGAAAATGCTCTTTGTTAACTTAGATAAAACATTATCTCATTATTTCTATTTCAGCCTTGATTTAACAACAACAAAAAATAGAAGCATATAATTCTTAACAATATATTAAAAGTCTTAACAGCTGCTGGGCCATAAGTAAATAAATTGTTTTCAGTGTGCTAGAAAATATGCAAAGTTAAGTCTTGAGCTGTTTATTCTGGCATGAATAGACCCCCCCCCCCCCTTTTTTTCCCCAAAGGTACAATGTTTACTGCTTTTGATTCATCAAGTGCAAAGTATACCATGACATCATTCCAAGACAGAAAAGGTTGGGTGGACAAAATAAATATAAATGGAGTTTCCACAGCCCAATAGAATGCAAAACATTTAATCATTTTAATTTCTATTTCTTGTTCAATATAATTGACAAATTTTGATTTTCATTTGCATTTTAGAAATGTTACATTCTCTCACTCTCCCATACAGATGGAGTATGATCCTTCATTAGAAGTGATGTTAATAGATCATGACTCACTAATGGAGAAGATGAACAATTGGAATTTCCAAATTTTTGATCTTGTGCAAGAAATGGGAGACAAGTCCAGAAGGATCCTCAGTCAGGTTTGTTGCTGTTTTTGATGAATGAGCCATGTTATACAAAACATTCATAGTATTTTTGTATTTTATATAAACTGATATGCAGTTTTACCAGTTTGTATACACATTTCCAACCTGACAGAATAACTGGTCTTCACATCATGCCCTTCATGTGTAGTGACAGTGTTCATGTTTTAACAAAATGAAACTAGAGTTTTGCATATAGTTCTGCATGCTGCGAGGATAGTGGCCATTCGAGCAACAAAAATGATTTAGACCACTGGGAAACATAATTTAGGAGGAATGGCTGTAGGAAGTGGGATTATTTAGTTTTGGAGAATAGAAGATTGAAGGAAGATGTGTGATAGTCTTCAAATACCTGAAGGGTGGCTATAAACAGGAAGGTCAGAGACCATTCTCTGTGGTATCAGGGGACAAGACAAAGAACAATAGGTTTAACAAGTAGCAAAGGTAATTTAAGTTGATAGTAAGAAGAACCCTGTTACTGGGAAGGTTGTTAAACACTTCTGGAGATAGGAGATACAATCTCTTTAGGTAATCTGTTCCAGTGTTTAAGAGCAGGTTAGACAAACCTAAGAAGTCCAACTATGAAAGAGGACATCTCTGTATTTTCTCCCAGGAAGCATTTGATATCTCAAATTTCTTCTTGAAATATTGCCTAGAGCTCTGGAATGAGGGCTTGCAGTTGCCATCTTGCTCCTTTATGTAAAATTGTTGCCCTCTGTGAGGCTAACTAGTTTATTCATGGAACATAACTTTATTAGTAGTCAGTTCAAGACTAAAACTTATTGCTATACAATCTAAGAAGGTTTCAAACTTTTCCACTTTCCATTGCAAATAGAGGGTTCTAAAATATTGTAGACAGGTGATACTCAGCTGTAGATCCTTCAGATGCAGCTGCCGCACTTGATTGACTACCTACTGTTCTGTTGAGACTGAAATAAGTGCTTGTGATTCAATGAAGGCAAGATGGATTGTAATTTACACTGAGAAAGCAAAAACCAAGAAGAACCCAGCAGAGGTTATCCCAGTTTCCTTATTGGGTGATAGTGCATGCCTTTTGTTAGCATACAATTTCTGTCTGTTTTGGGTCTTCAGCTCCTTCTTGTTGCCTAAGTGATAGCAATGGTATTAGGTTCCTTTTATCTGTGCCGGGCTTGTAGGATACAACTCTTTTGTTTCGATGCAACCTATACCACCCATAACTTATGCTTTTTTCACATTGAGAGCAACCAACTATAAAGCGGTTCAGATAGTGTCCGAAACCTCAGCTACTCAAGAATGCCGGGCTCACTGTTTAAATGGCATTTTACTTTCCAGGTAATCTGTTGCCCTACTGCTTCATGATCTATGTTATCTTCCACTTCTGTGCTGGTTAGGAGTTGGTTTTAACCTGTAAAGTCTCAAATAGATGGACTTCTGGGTACCTCACAATAATTCCCCTGTCCCTATCCCCCTCACACCGCAGCTGTTCATCTCTGAATGCTTGTTCACATTATACATTCCACTTGTCAATGTGTATGCAGCTAGTGTACTTGACTTCAGTAATATGCTGCCGAGGCTGTGCATGTGCCTTCTGCTAAGGTCTTAAAGGAGTGGTGCTATCCCAACCCACTTTGGTTCCTTCTGGCTATTTGTGCTGAGAGTTAGAGCTCTTGTATTGAATCAGGATCTTGGTCTTTTCTCAAGAGGGGATGGGCAATTATTTTGACTGGAGGGCTGCTTGACAACTTCTGGTGAGCTGTCAAGGGCCGCAAGGGTAGCCTTGCCTCTTGATGTGCCCAACCCCCTGATCACCATCTTGGGACTGAAGTCCTGTCCCCTAACCTCATACCTTTGCTCCTGGAAATTAATCCTTTGGGGTGGGGGTGGGGGGGGGGAGTGGGTTG